TGGAGGTGACAAGCAAGCATGCACGCAGTGTCACACTGCGAAGGGGCCAGCGCTCGGTGGACACAAGCTGCCCAAGGCCCCCAGCATCAGCCTGTCGCAGACCAAGGGTGCAGGCAAAGGCCTGTCGGCGGTCTCCCAGCAGGCGCTGCGGGACAAGGACGCCGAGATCTCGCGCCTCAAGCAAGCCCTGCAGGATAACAAGCTCAAGGAGGCGACAGGTGGCTCAGCCCTGTTGCCCGAGGCCGATGCGGCCAATGACCCTGAGCACAAGCGCCTCAACGAGATCGCCGCCTCACTACGGCAGCTCGGCACGCCGTCGGAGGCCATCCTCATCAAGGCCAAGAGTGATCTCATCGCTGAGAGGGATGCGCTCAAGTCCAAGTTGGTCTCCAGCAAGCCATATGCGGCCCAGGTGCAGCACTGGACGACTCGCATCGAAGCCATTCAGCTCCAAGAGGCCAAGCAGCAGAAGACTATTGCTAGCCTCCAGGATCAGCAAGCTGACATTGCTGCCCAGCTTGCCCAAGCAGAGAAGCTGGCCAGTGAGCTGGCCACTGAGAGGATGGATCTGGAAGCGCAGCGGCATGCCGTCGCCACGAAAGGACCTGTCCCCGTCCCAGGCCAGTTCAATCTTACCACGATGGTGCCCGCCCTCGACTTGTCGGTCCAGCAGCTGGGAGAGCTCCTCTCGGGAGTCGGAGCCGATGAAACCCTCGGAGGTGTCGTCGAGAAGTCCTTCGCAGCCCTGCGTGAGCTTAAGACGAAGGCCGAGGCCAAGCCGCCCGCTGCGCCACCGACTGCACCACCCAGGGCCGACATGCCGTCGGCCGAGGAGGTGCGCGCGGCAGACAAGGCGGCAGTTCCCATGGACACTGACGACATCGAGGAGCTCAAAGCATACTACCGTGACATCACAGGCAGTGAGCCGCCTGAGGAGGAGGAGCAGATCAGAGCCGCCGCCAAGAGGTGGATCGCCGCTGCCAAGAACTATGCCAAGAAGCGCCGTGTGGGCCAGGACGGTGCGGCACCTGGTGCAAGTACAGGTTCTGCTTAACTCATTCGTCCTGGGCATGGATGTGACTGCTGTGGCCCTGTCGGCGTGTCCCTCCCATGACGTCGGGTGGCATAGCCTTAAAGTTCTGGGGCTTGCCCTTGCGCCTGGCGTCGGAGGCGTGGACCCGACTTGCTGCCTCAAGCAGATGATGCAGTGGATTGGGTTTCTTATATTTGCAGTGCTGGTCTTCATGCTGGCGCTGTCTGTGCATCTAATGGGGAGTCTTACTTTATCGTCGTATCTTGATGTCAAGCTGTTCGCGCGCGTTGTCGTGATCAGCTACCACGTTCTCTTCAGCGGAGTTGAGTGCATCAACTTCTGCGGCGTCTGCGCTGGCACCGCGCTGGCCTACCACTTCAGCCACTACCAATGGGATCTAATATCAGATCCAGGCCATCCGCCACCGCTGGTGTTTCCCCTGAGAGACCCTGCGCCTTGGGCTGCTTCTGAGGAGGCTCGGGGACCCTCGGCCCGTCTGGGACATCTCTCGTCATGGCCGACGCTGGGGAGAGGGGAGTCTTGTGCTAGTGTGGGCTTGGCCCACAGGCACGTAGCGTCGCCTGCTACACCCTCTCGCCCAGCTCGGCGCCTTTGTCGGACGTGGCTTGGACAAAGAAGTAGTAACATGCAAACTCAGTGCCAGGACACAGCGACAGGCCAACCAGCCCATGAGGTGACGGTGCGGCGTCGACCACGACGTGCTGTACCATTGCTTGCACTGGTGTCGTGCTTTCACACCGTGGAGTCCGTCAAGAGCAGCGCAGCAGCCACCTCTGCCTCTTTCGAGAGCCGGGCTGCTGAGGCGCAATCTGGCGCCGCCACGACAAGCATCCAGCATGTCGTCACTGCCAATGTCAGCTCACATGGGCCTTTGATAGACATGCTCAAGTCTCCGTGGGCGGCCACCAGCATCTTTCTCATACAAGAGCACCATGCTGATGCCGCTCGTCTCGCCGACGTCCAGCACCAGGCTGCTCGAGCGGGCTTTACTGGTCTGTGGGCAGCTGCGCCACCGACTGATCGAGGTGGCACTTTCGGCGGCATGGCGATCCTGGCGCCCGCGCGTGTGTCCATCACCCAGGCGCCCCAGTGCCCCGTGGAGATCGCCCCAGGGAGACTTTTGGCTGCTCAAGTGTTCTGGGGGCCCAAAGGCGGCATTACCATGATCAGCATCTACCTTCGGGATAGCGAGGGCCTCAGCGACGCCAATATCGACATCTTAACCAAGGCTGCTGAATACATCACCTCGCTCGAAGCTCAGGGCAGGTCCTGGCTGATAGCGGGAGATTGGAATATGGACATTTACCTTCTCCGACCTTTCTTCAACAGTCTCAGTGGCATCGTCGTGCACCCGTCGTGCCCGACTTGTTTGCAGAGCAAGCCTGGGTCCATGTATGACTACATCTGCATGTCAGCAGCGCTGGCCACCAGGTCGGGCACTTGTGA